AAGCCGCCATGATGAGCCCTTCTCACTGATCGTAATTATGATCAATAAAAGGTATCTAATTATGTCTTTCACCAGGAGATATGCACCAGCGGTTATTAAACATCGAATTACTTATTAATTGATATGTTTTGTAAGCAAGTAAATGTTAATGTAAAATATTGCTAAAATGAATTGATGTATGCCGATATGCGCACACGTGTGTGTCATGTGTGATCAGATAATTCAAAGAAAACAAGCAACAAAATACACATTTTACGTAGTTTCTTCTTGGTTTTAAATATCATTTTACATCAATGAAAAAAAATCATAGAAATATATTTAAAAAAAATATATTCAGAGATCGATTTTCGGAGCATGAACATCGGTTTTTTTTCCAGATTTTTTGGGTGCGCAAAATATTCGAGTAGAAGCTTTTTCCTGATTTTCAGCCTCAAAAAGTACCTGCGCAAATTACATGGGTTTTTACGGTATATTGTATTGTACAACAATACAGAGATGAAATATTTCTTTAAAAGCTTATTTTATGTATCTTAATCTGCTTGGTAATTTAACTTTGCAAATTGCTATAAATTCTAACAGACATGCCAATATGCTTAAAACAGGCTTTTAATAGTGGTGGGAATTAGTTCAAATTTTGTAATCGATGGTTGGTTTGTCAAAAATCTTAAAACAATGTGATCCATATGATATATGATGTAATAAGTTTGATAACATTCTGACAACAACTTATAAAATCAAGCAAATCTTTCCTATGGCAATATATCGGGATACGTATCGCAATATATTCATTCTGTATTGCACAAATCGTGATACACTCTAGGCATATTGTGACACTCATACAATCAAGTCTGGGTATCCCCTTGCAAAGCACTCGCCCAGTTGAGCTATATACCTGCATGGTTACCGACGATCGACCCTGTCCAACCCTTACACCTATACTAGCTAACAGATCAAACATCACTACCTAAATTAGGGATAATATATTTGCTGATGTCCTTTTTAAATGTATTTCATATTCCCTAAATAGATAGTTGGGCCATATTCAATTTAATCAACAAATATAGTTTGGAAATTTGGGTCAACCTGAAGCCAAAAGACCAGTAGTGTTCATTTGTAAGCACAGATTTGGAAAAAAAAATCCTTTTAATTGGTGATTAAACGTCATTGTGTGTGAGCCTAAATAAATTAAAAAGATAATGTATGACCAAAAATTGGCATTTGTTCTCATTTTTGATTAACCCAATTCCCGTCAGTGACGCACCATTAATTCACATATATGTACACTGAATTAATATAAATTTACAATGTTTTGAATTTCAGACCCTTTTTCTAATCCTGAAAATAATGAAGGAGGGTCAGCTTCGTCAGAAAGCTTAATCCACATAAGAATCCAGCAGAGGAATGGTAGAAAAACCCTGACCACTGTGCAGGGGATAAGTCCCGACTATGACCTGAAGAAAATTGTGAAGGCGTGTAAAAAGGTAAAGTACTTTGATTCTGAATAATTAAAAGATGTTACGGATCCCTTTACCACTGCCAAAAACTGTTACTAGGCACTGGAAACTGTTACTAGGCACTGGAAACTGTTACTAGGCACTGGAAACTGTTACCCTGCACGACTACATCTACAGATAAAGAACTAATCTGTTAAGATCATATAAAACTGAAATTACAGAAAGGTATTAAATCTCTTGAACAAACTTTTTTTTTTTTTTTTTTTACTTTACTCATCCAGAAAATCGGTCTAGATAAAAGTATTTGAAAGCAATAAAAGCAAACATGGCACGATTGCCGACTTTTGGGGAGATGAACTTAATTTCTGTATCCAGAATGCTTGTCAAATAAAAGAAAATTATTTGCAACAAAGCAAGCCATTTTGGTGGTAAGTACAGACTTTCAATGCTATGTATGTTGTCAATAGTGCTTGCTAGGTAGTACCACATGTAAACCATATATGTGAAAAACAACAATAACAATACGGCATGAATGACTCCATGTGTTCTTGTGGTGAAAAGTTCCAGGAATTAAAAGCTTTAAAAGTTAATAAGTTTCCCTCATAATGATAGAACAGAAGCATCTTGGTCAGTTATAACATCATAAAAAAGTCACCAGCCACTGGTATAGTAACTTAAGTAAGCCTCTAAATTTTTCCAGTCGTAGCTGGAAAAACTTGTAGCACTGCGGGGATCAATCTAGGTTTTAAGAGAATCTACCCTTTTTCAGATTTGGGGTAAATTAAAATTGACGTACATGTGTGCAGTATATTTCAATTTATAAACAATTTTAAGCTTAAAAAATGTATATACATGCAGCATTATGAATTTTAACTGTTGAACTTTAAAGAAAACAAAGGGGAAATATTTTGAAGAAAACCCGCTATTTTCTTGTTGAAATAGGGAATTTTTGAAGCACAATGGGAGAATTTCAAAGAACATGAATTTTCTTCTGTAGGGGAAACTACTCATAAACGGTAGTGAATCAAGTCTAGGTTGATCCCAGCCCTGGGTGTTGGGCTAGTGGATTTTTACACCCCTGGATAAGGTCGCATGGTTATCCGCTGGCATTATTTCTAACCATTGCAGCCCTGTAGCTAGGTCTGAGTGTAAAAATTTGATGAGACTAGGCCAGGAGTGAAACCCTGAACTTCTTATTGTTATACACTGTCACTCTTAACTGACTAAACTAAACTCTAAAGTAGTGGAATCCACTAATAATGATATCCTGTTTGCCAGAGAGAGAAAAAGTAATGAGTATGACATAGAATTTTTGTAAAGACAATTTGGTACCTGTACATGGAAAAAATATTTAAACAAGTGGGGCCTTATAATATCTGATAGTATAATAAATATAAGTGAGTTCCACTGTATTATAAAAAAAAAATATATATATATATATAAGATCCTAACTCCATGCTTGAACATGTGTGAAAATACAACAGATGCATGATGGAGAATTTTGTGCCTGAATGTTAAATTTGATATATATTTTGGTTAAATAAAAAAGCCAACAGTCAACTGTCTTTCTGTTAAATTTATTTTCCTGAAATTTCCATGATCTCTCTCGGGTACTACTGCAAATCAACTTGTCTAGCGTTCATATTTGTGATTAAATTGTTGTACAAACAAGTTGATTAAATTTGGTTGATCTTTGTTGTGTTTTAGGAGTTTGCCTGCAACGGGACAGTGGTGGAGCACCCTGAGTATGGGGAGGTCATACAGATGCAGGGCGATCAGAGGAACCACATCAAAGATTTCCTGAGAGATCTCGGCTTAGCAGCTGAGAAACAGCTCAAGGTAAAACTAATTAAGGGGTGTATAATCTATGATTGTTTGATAAATTTTCTCCTTATTATCCATGAGATTTGTTGACGTTCTTTAATTATCCTTGCACCAGCATGGAACTGACTTTGTCTTTGATAATTTTAAAAGTGATCTAATCAATTGAAGCATTTTGTCATGCAAACCTAGCAGTAGGTTAAGATACTGGTAAAAATAGTATCCCAGCTGATATCAACATTATACATAAATAATTTGACTTAGAATCTCACAGAGCCATCCTTTTCTCTGTATGGCTAGGACAGTTTTCTACAGTTTTAGAACAGATCAAATGTAAGCTGTTTTGGCTTAGATTGTTCTCTTGTTGACCAGAACATTTGTTGCAGTAATTGTTCAGACTTTACAAAACAATATTATTTGTCTTTATAATGCAGTTCTTGATCATTGTAATATTTGTATAGGGATTATGTTTTCCCAAATCAACTTAATATTCCAGGGGAATTCCTTTCATTTACTATTTTCTTCACCTCCTTATATTTTGTTCTGCTTTCAGGTTCACGGTTTCTAAGTTGTACCACCACATTCATCAATCAAGTTCGCATCATCTATATTGAGAAGTTCATCATGTTGTAGCCACAAGGCATGCAGTTGCCTCCCTTCCACTGTAGACAACACATTTTGGTTGTTGAAAAAATGCAAAAATTAACAATGAACAGAGAACCTTATTTTAATCCTACAAGTGTATAATTTAAAATTCACGGTAAAAAATATTTATTGTTCTGCAGGGCTTTGTTGTCATGGATATCGTCTCCCATATATATTGAGGTATAGATGAAAACTAGTAATTCTTTCTGGCCAAAAGTTGAATTTAATTATCATAGCTGACAAAAATGTCTAAAATGTGTAGCTGATATGGTTTTTTCATCATATTCATAATTTAGATATTAAAGAAGTTAGCGTATGGTTTGGCTAAATTTGAGATTTATGTACAATTTTAGATTCATGTGAAATAAATCTTCTCTTCTAACTCGTGAAATTCAAATACCTTTAACAAAGGTATCAGAAGTGTTCCAAGGCCCTGAGATATTTTGTAAATGTAGATGCATTAATTTGTCATTTTGTCATAAAATAAAGAAAACTTTTGTAATAAATTCATGTTTGTTTGTGGTTTTTAGAAAGCTTCATGACCTGGCCAAAAGGACTATAAAACTTGTACCCTGGTGCAGTGTCCGTTATCTGTCTGTGAACTTTTACATTAAAACAATTATGCTACTAGTCCAAAACAGCTATTGGATTTTGACTTTTTATTCTGCAGCATTGTTGGGCCGAGGGGACTCAAATGTTATAAAATAAAGTGTGTCTCCCCTTAAGACAGAAGGGCAGTGCCAAATAATAAGGGTAGAATATCTTTAATATGGATGAATGAATGAAAATAGAAAAGATGAGTAACAACACCACTGAATCCGGTACAAAATGTAATGTTTGATTTACATTCTATGTGCTGACATGTTTCGGTGAAAGGGAGGTCGTCTTCAGAGCACGTTCATATGGATGAATGGTTTAATCCATATTTGGTCTAGAGCTTCCTTTGACCAAATTGACCCCATAATGTATTCAACAGAGAGGCAGTACCATTTAGGGGAAATAAAGATAATATTTTAAATCCTTTTGCTATCTCCTTCCAGAATTAAAGAATTGAAATAAATTTGGTCGAGAGATTCCTTGAGCTGAAGAACTCGACATTCAAACAGGGAAAGTGACTCCGTTGAGGCCTAAAATATGAATTTTTGCATTGAAATTTTTTCCTTTATTGTTGAAAAGATCAATAGGAAAAGATGATGTTCTGTATAAATGAAGTTGGTACGACCTTTTGGGTCGGCCTGCTGGGACCGAAATAGAGGAATTTTGGTTGTAAAGCAGTGCTACTTAAAAATGATCCCCACCTTATAACCAATACAATTGCTATAAATGAACAGATATTTACATTCATGCTACCACTACCAGCAATTGTCTCTGATTATAGGGCAGGGATCTAAGACTGTTTCCATGTTGTGAATTGAAGACTACCCCGGTAAGTGTATTGGGGCAGGGCCGAGCATGTTTGTATGATTGTAATGATCTCTTCAGGTCACCAAAGATTAAGGTCATGGTCAAACATCAATACTTATAAACTATAGAAGCTAGGGCCTTTAAGCTGATGACATGTATGCTCAAAATTTTACTTTATGTATAAAATCAAGTCATTGCTTGAAAGTTCAAGGTCATATATGCCAAGTCAATAAGTAGTTACTCTATAGTCAGGTTAATTGTCATCAAACTTAAAAGTCAACAATATGGTACGAACTACTGAAACTGAGGACTAAAAACATGTGTTCCTTCTCCAAAAGTCTGTATAAACTGTGAACAAAAACAGGTCTCCCCTTATTAGCCAATAGACAAACTTCGATATAAAAAACTAACAAAGGGCCATATCTCTTTATATAATGGGGCAAGAGCCCTGAATTTAGAATGCGAATCTCCTACTTCCCAAGATACATTAAAACTATAACAAGTTTGGTCAACGAAGGTGAAATAACATGGGAAGTTATGCCGTCGACAAACTTTGGTATTAACAAGAGGCTAAACGGCCTGAATCGCTCACCTGGTATTAATCTCACACCTGTAATCTTAAAATCGGACTAAAATACAACTACAGGCAGAATATCAGTGTTTGATTCATAAGAATCTATTAAAATATTTAAACATATGACGCCTGTTACTTTGAATGTCGAACAAGAAGTTTATAGTCTTCCAACCCAGCAAGTTTCTAACAAAATATCACCCTGGACCTTTTGGTTATACAGAACAAATCAGATTTAAACATAATGACCACTGTAACCTTGAACAATCTTTGTAGCCCTTCATCCCAGCATGTTACTGGCCAAATATGATGACCCTAGGCCTCTTGGTTATTCAGAAGAAGTTGTTTAAACTTTTTAAACATATTAGACCCCAGTGGCCTTGAATATGATTCCAGGTCATTTATTTGAACAAATGTTACTGGCCAAAATAAAGCACCCTAGCCCTTTCGATTATTCAGAAGGAAGTTGTTTAAATGTTTTAAACATATTTGACCCCTGTGACTTTGAATATAAATAAAGGTCATTCATTTGAACAAACTTGGTAGCCCTTCATCCCAGCATCTTACTGGCCAAATATCATCACCCTAGGCCTCTTGGTTATTCAGAAGAAGTTTGTTTTTCTCCAACCTATTTGACCCCTGTGACCTTGAACATAAGTCAAGGTCATTTATTTGAACAAACTTGGTAGCCCTTCATCCCAGCATGTTACTGGCCAAATATCAATATCCAGGGCCTCTTGGTTATTCAGAAGAAGCTGTTTTGAAGATTTTAACATATTTGACCCCTGTGACCTTGAACATTGATGAAGATCATTTATTTGAACAAATTTGGTAGCCCTTCATCCCAGCATGCTTCTGGCAAAATATCATCATCCTAGGCCTTTTGGTTACTTCTGTAGTTGTTTAAAATAATAAGTTGACGCCGGACGGGCGCTGCACCATGCCTTAGCGGTCACCTGAGTTATATCATAGGTACTGGTAGCTTTATTTTATTGTTTAGATGTGATGTGGAAATCAGCATGTAAACTAAGTGAAATACATTACTTGCCATGTCGTCAAAGGATAAAAATTTGAAAATATTGGTAAATGTTCCCTTTAGAGTCCCGCCCTAGCCCCTGGGGATGGGGCAGGAATCCCAATTTTACAATGTAATACCCTCATTCAACACAGATGATTCTGACTAAGTTTGAGTAATTTTCTGCTGAAATTGGATAAAATATAAACTATAGTAAACTTTACCCCCTCCCCAAGGGAATTGATAGTTCGGGGGTCCTGAAATTTACAATTTAAATAAAGCCCCTGATGATCTTTCTGTTCATGCAGAGAAAATCACTAGTACCTCGGAGTCTGGAGAAGAAGATTTTGGAAATATTGGTTAATTTTCCCTTTGAGGCCCCGCCCTGGCCCCAGGGGTTGGGGTAGGAATCTCAATTTTACAATTTTGTAGCCTCATCTACCAAGGGTGATTCTGACCAAGTTTGAAAAAAATCCATCCAATGGTTCTTGAGAAGAAGTTTAAAATGTAAAAAGTTTACGCACGACGGACGGAAAGCGATTAGAATAGGTCACTTGAGCAAAGCTCAGGTGACCTAATAAACATAGGGCAATAACTCTGTATATAGTATGGCATAAAACCTGATTTTAGTGCGAGAAATTCCGCCTTCCCAAGATGCATTAATATGGTAAGTTTGGTCAACGTAGGTGAAATGTCATGGAACTTGTGCTCCGGACAAACTTTGGCATTTAATTAAACAAAGGGCCATAACTCTGTATATAGTGAAGCATGAGACCTAATTCTAGTGCACTGCACACCTCCTTAAGGTGATGCAGGTATACTTCAAGTTTGATCAAGATATCTTTTACGGTTTAAATGTTATGGTCCAGACAAAAATTTACTGAAAATGTTGCACTTATTTTCCCTTGAAGTGAAGGTCAGTGACCTAATTCCAGTGCACTGCACACCTTCTGTGGGTGATGCATGCATACCTAAAGATTCATCAAGATATCTTCAACGGTTTAAAAGTTATGGCCCGGACAAGTTGTGATTAGTAGAACCAGAAGAAGAACCAGTACTAATGCAATATGTCTCCCTTCTTTCGAAGGAGAGACATAATTATCAAGGTCATTGGATGAAAGGTTAAGGATATCCTGACTCCAATACTTGGGAAATGTTATGACAACATTGAAGGCTCTGTATGCATCACATTGTGGATATTACAAGTAAAATAGTTTGATCCTTTAACCCTTTCACCACTGTAGACCATAATGGACTCATCCAGATCAATGCATGGTAGTCTACTAAAGTTGCATAGGGATGAAAGGGTTTATGTACATCCAAAGAATTGCACTGCAAGGTAATGGTGAAATTTACTGCGGTGTTGCTCCTTTTTTAATCGTCGAAGGTCTGGAATCAGCCTGGCCATTAGTGTTTGTTTTACACAATGCCGACACCAATAAAGTAGTTGACTATGTACCTTTTATTTTGTTAGAGAAATTCCAAGGGTTCATAGAACACTAGTGACCATAAAACCTCTGGAATTTTAGCTCACCTGCCCGATTATAAAATCTGTTAAACTTAATGTCCTTGTTTGACTCTCAAGGTCTTGTGTTTAGATCTTTTAATAGATTCTTTTGAATCAAACACAGGTATTCTGCCTGTAGCTGTAGTTCAGTCCACTTTTAAGATTACAAGTGTAAGATTAATACCAGGGCCCAGTTGTTCAAAAGGTGATTAGCCAAGTCATTGTTTAACACTTTTCAATCTCTAATAATTTGGTCAATATACAATTTAATAATAAAACCTATACATTTTGCATGAATTTTACCTCAGTGAATAGATACACCAAAAATAAAATTTGCGCTAGTCACTGATTAAGCTAATCACCGTTTGAACAACTGGGCCCTGGTGAGCGATTCAGGCCCATGGGACCTATTGTTGAGGTTGACCTTGCAATAACATAGTAGAGAATCTCTTAGAAGTGTTGTGCTGTGGATTCTTGCTGATTTAGATCAATTCTATTCAATCCAGCAGATTACATACGAAGTGCTGGTTCTATTAATGAACAGAAAACACAATACATAATCTGATGAGGATGTTCTTTATTGGATGTCCTTGTTTTAACCCCGAAAAATTGTCAATAATTTAATCAAATCACATGTATGCCCAATAAAAAAATACATGAACGAAGACATGCAGTTTTACCCTGAATCATCTCTTAGCCAGGGCTGTCATGATTACACAGGCAAGGTTTTTTCCAATGTCAAAAAATTCATAAATGTATGATATATACATGTACATATATTCTGAGCTGTGTCCAACATAAAAATTCAAAACAGAATATCGACATATCTATAAATGAAGTACTCTTCATGTGAACTAGAGAACAAGGGTTTTACATACTAGAGAAAAAACTATTTAAACAATGAATTACATTCATACCTTCCGACACTTTTCAGAATATCTACAATTCCGTAGAAATCATAAGGAAATAAATGAAAGGCATATTAAGAAATTTTCCTTTGAAGATATACATATATACATAAGTATACTAAAAACTTTTTCCCAAAACAAAAGAAACGAAACGGAACAAGTATTGACTGAATTTGTTTTCAAACATGTACCTTCTGGACGCAAGTTAATACAGTTAGAAATGGAAGCTGGGACATTTCACTGCCAGGGATACCTGTATATATATATAGTCATGTAACTAAATTCATCAGAGACGATTGGGCAGGACAAAACTACAGATCTCGAGTGACAAAAACCCCATCCCAATGAAATGTGAGAAGTACATTTTACATGTACAAAAACTATAAGTATGGGCATAAGGTTTATATGTAATATACCATTTTAACACTCTTTCAATTTTGTAATTGCTGGGTTTTCCCCCCAATAACATTCTTATCCAACTAACCAACAACTGTTTGATTTTAATTTTAAACATTACTTTAAAATGGTTTACAGAGAAACAAAAATGGAAGCACATTATGAATCATAGCAAACTGTAGCAAGTGAGGTGAAGGCTTGGAACAGCAAACCAAACGTGAGCACCTCACAACAGAAAAAAAAAAAATCCAATTTTTGAAACTCAATTTCTCCAGTATTTTTTCGTTTAGAAAGTCTAACAGGTGAAAACCAATAAGATGTTTCAGTGAATAATTGATACAGGTGATCATCTGCATGGCATCAAAGGCATTGAGGTTTAAAATGGGCTATTGAATCACAGAATTTTAATGAATTTAACAAATAAATAATCTTACAAACCACACATACATTCATTATAATGATTCGGGGATACCTATTCTTCCTCAATCATGAGTATGAATTTAATCCACTGTCGGAAAACACAAATGTGTTCTCAAAATTAATAAGGGGAGAGAGAAATAGTTTAATCTATTGACCCCTTAAATCATATTTAAGATTCTTCCAAGACTATAAATCGGACATTCTATTGTCAACATCCAGGGGTGAAAGGGTTAAACTACTTCAAAATTACACTGCCATACTATTATATTTGTCATGTTAACAATTAGATAATTTCCAGCTGTTGCTTCAGGGTTACTGACAAAACATATATATATCAACTTACTATTTCTTGTAAAACATAGGTTTTAAGTTGAGAATTCATATCATGTTTAAATAATAAAATAAAATGTTCCCACTGATCATTTGTAAATACAAATAATTATTGAACTGTAAATTGATTTTCTGAAATTTGTGTTCAAGAAATTCACCAATGTTAAATGAAACTTGAACAATTTTGTTATGGAATAAATTGTAAGATACAACGTACATCTGAAATGTATCTATTGGAGTCCTCTAAAGGATGATTTCCACTCAAAGTGAATGAAATGTAAATTTCAAGAAATCACAAAAAGATACAAGACAAACATAATCTATCGGTATGAGGAGAGTATCATTTCTGATACATTGTACATGATATCAGAGGTATGAGGAGAGTATCGTTTCTGATACATTGTACATTGATATCAGAGGAGATTTCCAACCAACTTGATTTTGTAGTACTTATCTGAATGCTCACACATGATCAAGACACCAGAGTGTCTGATAAACAGGTTTCCACAGTAATGATAAAACTGACTAGGTGTAGGGCTATGTTCCCTTGCCGCACTGAACTTCCTTCAGCTATTTCTAAAATACTGCATGTGTTTCTACTACTATTTGACGAAAGAGTGGTCCATGAAAAATGCTGATCAATATAAAAAAAATTCGCAACACATTAAAATATAACACTTTTATCAATCCAGACAGCATTATTTTAAATGAATATGTAGGTCACTTTTACCATATATCAAGCACATATACCCTGAAACAATTAAAGGAACAATGTCAAATGATGAATCAGTTCACATTTAGGTTTTATATATTACATCAATAACTTTCAAAGGTTTTTTTAATTTGAAAAATATATGTAGATGGTGAGCTGTACTAAAATTGAAACAAAATGACAATTGTATTATATTTCATACAAATGATTAATGCCATTCCAACCTGCACATACTCAAAGAAAAAAGTTCTTTCAACATTAATATTCAACATGGACAGACAAGAAAGCAGAAATTCTTTACTTAAGTGACTTTGAATTGAACAATTGCAAATTCTTGATTTTTTAGAGGAATTATATGCAAGACAGCTCTTAATTGATTTATAATTTTAGAATTGAATCTTCATCTATTTAAAATGTTTCTCTTTATTAGAATTGCATCAACAAGGTACTGTATCAGACTTTTGGATGAAAGTGTCGATGTCCCAAATGCTGAATCTTAAACAAAATAAACAGAAGTGATTGGCAGCAACAGTGAATAAATCATCACCTGAATGAATCATCGCCCACGGAAAAAACTTTGTAATCAATATTAAAACAGAGATACCCTAATTTAACAAATTACATCAACAAGAAAATTATTTACAAACCAAGGACGCTGATGAAATTGCAGCTTTACATTGCCACAAGACAGTTGTCTATACCCAGCTAATGTGATTCACAAAAATATCTGACACGTTTTCATTATTTTACGCATCTCATTGACTTTGCATCTATATACAAGTATGCTATTTTTTAAATTGACCAAAAAATTCAAGAAAAAATCCACAAGCAATTCTCCCAGAGACAGCTAATTTTCACATATTCGAATATTACTCGCACAAATCACATTCCATATCAACACACAACATGTATACCACAACTGAATAACACCAGTTAAAATATATTTCTCACATCCTCGTGGATTTTTTTTATTTTAACACCTAAAGATTTCAGAACAAAATCTTGAATTATTATATATACCTTTCTACAGATCGTTGCTTGGTCAATACATTTTTTATGTTTTTTTCCAAATTCCATTTTTTTTATTTTCAGCCAAGACAGAAAATTTACCTTTTTATACTATCACGCCATACAAGTAAATGCAATTTTTGTTTCTTAATGTAGTCCGGACATTGCTTTAAGTGTACATGCTCTAATAATTGGGTACTATATTTTATTTCCATAAAAGTTAAAAATTCCACATCAGTCATCATAGAAAACAAAAATTCCACAATCTTACAGATTAAACATACACAATGTTACGCTGTTATTCATAACAGGTCAAACTCACAAGTGATTCAGATTGTTAGCGAATGATCAAAGGAGCATAATGCAGTAAATGCAGACTTTTTTTAAACAGTAGTTAATTGCAAAGCATGATATTAAGTGTCGCTCACTTCATACAATCTACAAATTATAGGTTTTTAAATTTCTGACATTTCATTCTCCTATCAAAAAGCACAGCACTATATATTCTGAGCAATAAATTAAAAAGTAAACAATATTATTTCAGGGAATAAATGTTGACAGAATATAGCGACTCCTCACTCGAATGAACACATTTTCATATTTCACATTTACAAAAATACCATTTTTTTGTAAATTGTCTGATATGGGGGGTTTGTTATGTGAATGTTGAAAACAAGATTTGGCTAAATTATAGTCCACAACTAGTAAGACAAAGTTCATATTAATTACAAGAATGTGATTTAAATTTTCTCCAAATACACGTGGCCTGTTTACCCAACAACCCCTCAAGTCACTAAGATGCAATCTTAACAAGACAGGACTGAGACTCAATTTTACTAAGTTTTATCTTTGCAGACCAGACACATTTTGCTAACTCTACAATGGAATCCAATATTAGTAGATTATTTTTCTGTTTATTTAAAGAATATTTCTACACAACCTATGCTCTGTCTGAGGCCCAATTTAACTGAAACGTGCATCATGGTTTGAAAAAGAAGTTACACATTTTCCCCCCAAGCTGCTAACAGATATTCAGGGTCACCTGAGTTAGAGAAAGTATCACTGTGAACCAGTTTCAAGCCTAATCTCCTCAAATGGTCAACCCTATATGATTTTAAGTTCATGCCAATAAGGTTAATGTTCAAAACAGAAAGATCAAAGTGCTGTAGACGCTTCATCATGGTTCTTTAGAAGCTTAAGTGCACCAGAATGATCATGGTTCTTGAGAAGCTTCAGTGCACCAGAATGATCATGGTGCTTGAGAAGCTTCAATGCACCAGAAGTTTTACATTGCCAGGGGCCTGTTCGTCAATACGGAACAACCGGTACGTCCCTTTTTAAATGTAACATTTTCTAGTTTAAATCCCAGTGGACCCACAAAAGTTTATGCAGGCCTTGCAAGGCTTTGTCAAGGCTCGCTTGAAAGCAGCATCAGATTACTGAGTCCGACCTGATTTCATAAACGAACTCTGGTCCAACCGGTTCAACCGTTTGGACCGCGATATACAAAAAAGGCCGAATATATGCACTGAGCAACCAATTCCTGCTGGCGTCTCTTGGTGAAGAAACACCAAGGTTCACATTGGTGATGTTAATCTAAAAAGGATCTCATCTAACACTGAAACCTAACATTCAGAAATAACTTGAGTGGACAGCCCATCATCATCCAGTATCGAGACTTGAGGGGGTGGCAAGGTTCAACAGGTAATATCTATATATATCACACATGTACAATCATCCAATCATATCTCTGTATAACACTAAAAAAAGCCCAAACCTAAAACAAAATGACTTGTCTAAGTGCGTGAACGAAAACAATGATAAGTACAATAATAATTATTTATAATAATTCATAATAAGAAATCGCACAGTATTAAAAAGTCAAAAAAACACAAATATTACAACTACATTCAACAATGTTAACTGTGTCACCAGACGAATACAAGCATCATTGGACAACAGCATGATCAGACATGGGTTGTAGAGAGGAGATAAGACAAACACATTGTGTTCACATTGCAGCAGATAACTCCTACATAGTATAACCTAAGTTTGCCAAGCGTAATATCATTCTTAATAATTCAGAAGCAATGGCATCATTGTCATAGAAGATCTAGCACACTGTCATTAATCTCAATGAAATGGATCAACTGCGCAGTTTAGATAAAATTTACAAGAATTATCTCCCTTCACTTCAGAAGTTTGTGCTTTAACTTATTGCAGCTCTTCCAATTGGAGCTTCAGAACTTCAGTACTATTTAAAACTTACAAATTTAATGACCATACTGTGTCGATTCAGTTGGCAATAGCATCCGAAGGGAAATTCTACATTGCTTTACAATTAAAACGACAGTTTTATAATAAAATTGAATATTGAATCCTGGGTAAATACAATCTATTGCAATGTGTACATGATCATATTAGTCTTAAGAGCTCCTGTGCACCTCAATAAAATACATGAAAATTCACATAGTCTCGCACCCTTCATATATATATTTCATCAACACCTAAGCATCCTTCAAATGCAAAAATTCTTTCATCACTCTTGAAAAACACATTTGAAAGCCAACAAGCATACATACAAACTCCTTTTAATTAATTACTATAGCACAACATGGGATCCAAATACTAGGTCAGATACTCATAGCAGCAAAACATATATATATATATATATTATCATAGTAGAACAAAACATTTCGTACATTACCTACTCAATTCACAACTCTAACAGAATTTGAAAGTTCTATCTTTATCTGGTTGCCAAATGAGGGGAAAAGGGAGGGGTTGGGAGAGGGAATCTTACTGTACAAAGTAAAATTGACTTAATTTTCACAATAAAATTATAATTATTATTCTATTTTATGGCAGCATTTTAAAGGTTTAATTTTAATTCAAAATATAAATATTTCTGTGTAATTGGTTATACCTCAGTATTTTTGAATTTCACAGTTAATCAAGTAATTTGTGATCACTCCATAAACTTTCAGCGATTAAAAACAATCTTGATAAATGTATCTTTATACCTTGAAATTAAACTGAATTTCAAACAAAATCCTGTTTACAAAATGGATAGTAGCACGATACTAATATCATTGGTAGCGCTAGCTAAAACAGCGAAATGTACCGACAGCAACTATTGAATATTTTACAGATGTCCCACCTAGCACATTGCCTCTGCCTGATGGTCTTGTCTTTATCAGCAAGGGACCTCAGTCTCTGATTCATCTTAATTTTAAAGAATTTTCAGAAATCGTCAAAAGATATTTCAAAATTTGATAGAAAATATTCTAAATTTCAAATGACATACTTCCAAAGATATGTAATTTCCCCCCAAGATTACTTGTGATTCTTATTCTGTAACAGCTACTTTACAATAATTACACAAATCAATATATGTACGACACTTGAAAACTAAACCTGCATACGAGGGAGAAAAAAATGTTTTGTACTACCAGCACATTACAGATATATTTTTGAGCTGTAAAGATTGTCATCAAATAGGAAGCTTTGCAGGAAAGTTTTTCTACGTTTTAAAACATTCGGGAGACCTGGATAGTACACCTAGAAGTATTCCATTTGAAAATAAACGTTTTGCACAAAACCTGACAAGGAGATACAGATTTCATGGCAGAAGCTTAAGTGAGTCATCCAAAAATAACATTTTGGGTATATTTCCACTTCTAATAACAAAAAAGGAAGAAGAAACACAAACAAATATTGAACAAATAACTTTAAAATGGATGTGCTAAATCACTATTAAATAATGTTGAATACTGGTTAGATTTTCTACACACTTAGTCCTTTATGTACAGACACTTGGTTATATTTATGTATTTAAAGAGGTTCTCGCCTCGACATAGCTCTGTACAATTTACCCTCGACAAGGGTACGGGGAAATATGACCAAATAGAATTAAATGCATGCAGGCACCATTTCAAGATAACAACTGGCTTGTTCTTACAATATCAGTTCCGGTATCAACAGCTGTTGTTGCTGGAGACAACCAAGGAACTGGCAAAGCTTTCACAGATCTAGAGCACCTGTCTCCTAACCATCCCCATTACAGTTCTAACTCTGTCTAACAAATTGGAGTTGTAAGGGTATGATCACTTTATCTTGCAATCATGATCACATTCAGAGATCGGTGCAACAGCAATTGACATTTGATGCAGAATAACATGTGTGAAGTGGAATATTGCTCTCGAAGATGAGTTACAGAACAAATTTAGAAATACATTTGTAATGTAAATAGAACTTGTTGATTTAGTGGTTGATACCAAGGCTGATACTGTAAGAACCAGACCCTGTGGTTGTTTCTCTGTGTATACATTGACATGTAGCTGTAACGCAGGTACGTCTTATGTACAGATATCACAAATCATGAACTGTCGACTCTCGGTGCTGAGGAGGTAATGTTTGGAAATCTCCATAAACAGAAAATCCTTCAAGTGTGTTTTTGACAAAATTACACACTTAACACAAAGCTTGTATAAGAAAGCCTGCATATAAAGTAACAGGTTTTGATTCAGGCTTTACCTTGACTATTCGTTTTTAATACACAGGCTTTCTTGGACCAAAAATGCTAAAAATGATGATTTCAAATTGAAGTTCAAACTCTCAATTGTGACAATTTTTGAAGACACATTTCATTCAAACAAAATAACTGAAAATTTTGAATTGCCTGAAATTGTATTTCAGTGGTAACTAGTTGAACTGTCCCCACTAAGTGCGGCTCAGCAGCGATTACAGAAAGAAAGAACAGAAAAGGGAGAGACAGAGAGGTAGAAAAACAGTTACGTGACTGGCATGCACCACGCTACAGGTCGTAATTACACCGATAAACTACCAAGCTGGCCACTTATGGTTGCAACAACCAGTAACACGTTCGCCATTGTCAAACAAGGTTCTACAGTGTGCGACTACATTACGGAGGCTATCTCCCTGTCCAACAATATATAATAATATCTCCAAAAAGTTTTTTATATCTTTTTCAATACTATTTTCATCCTATCAAGGTATCAACACATTTTTCTGGCCACCCATTGCACACAAGAGCAGACACCTGTCTCTTGAACAAAATGCTTGTCCACGGAAACGTTTGAACCGTGTCCTACTCCCATCTCACAGGAAGTGTGACAGAACAGCAGGTAGCGAGTTCTAGAGATCATATGCAAGCGACGCTGATGGACAAACCCCTTGCGACATCCCATAATACTTGATGTCTGGCTAGTGATCCACACCTTGCATCATTCTGCAGTTGGCAGGGAAGAGCTAGTGCCGACACTATGCACAGTCCAATATCACAAATATACCAGGCTCAGTTTAGCTGTTCAAACTCATCTTGCTTGTACATTTCATTGCAGCAAACCTTTCTGACAAATAAAATCTCTTCAGCGAGTCAGGTACCATACAAAATCATCAAGGATCAATTTCCTTTTTTCAATTCACTGCTTCACTTGCATATCTTTAGATTAAAATTTCTCAACACTTCGTAATTTCAAAAGTCAACCTGTTGTAAGCATCATATCCAATTTCAGAAGATATCTGTTATTGATCCAATGATGTGTGTTGTACAGATTCACCAAACATCAGTGAGTACCATGACACAGTCTTAAGTCTTTTACATACAAGCCAATAGTTCGGCGTACAAGCCAAAAGTCCGGCGTACAAGCCTATATTCCACCATCCATTCACCATATGTTGGAAACTCCGATTCCATAGAGTATTGCTGGTGTATCATTTCAAGCGGTCAATTGCCATTGTTTATTTCGTCGATGACCGGGATCCATCCCGTTCACTACGTCTCCTGTCCCTCCGCTCACGGTTCTCCTTGGCCCGGCGGCCACCCCCAAACCTTTGATCTTTAGGTTCAAAGTCCCTTCGCCCCTGGTCCTTTACTGGGGGTCTAGAATTGGCAGAAGTCGTTTTAATTGTCTGAGATTGCTCTTTAAGTGTTTGACTGGCACGCACACTAGCAGCGGTCTTGGAGTCTTCCTCTCCCGACTCGTCACTGCTGCGTTGTTTACTGCCGCCCTCAGCAGCTGCCGCAGCAGCTGACGCGGCTTCGGCTTCTCGGCCTCGTGCCAACATTTGAGCATATGTAAGTTTGACCTGGGCCTGTTGCTGAACTGGAACCGGCTTTTCCTGCTGCAAAGGTGAAACAAGCACATTTTTATTTTTAGACAATAATTGATGGTATAATAGCAACACACTTTTATTACAATGAGATACTGGTAAAATAGTAAATATACAAGAAAGTCTCAGGGCTACTCCATCACATTCAGGAACCAGGTATTACTTGTATTTATTTTATGAGTGAAGGATTTTGATTCAGATCTGCCTATTTCATTATTAATCAGTTTCAATATGTGTACTTGATGGGCAGTGGCCGGGTGCATGGGCCCGTTTAGCAAGTAGATTGCACCCCTTTCCATGCAATTTTGAAACAGTTTCGCTTTCATCATGTCAATATATAAAATAAAGATTATTTTTTTACTACAACCAGATGAAGCTTATATTATATTTCAGTCGTTGTGTTATTCAATTTTCTGCGATTTTAACCAGTCCGACATCAGTGAACTTGACATCATCGGTATGATTTGACCGCATTGCAACCCAAGACATTCAATTACAACTTGTTTGTTTTAAGGTTATCCCAGTAATATACCTTCTTTATCAAAGGACCCCGGTTTTTCCTGCCTATTACAACAGATAAAAGAGTTCTGGTGTTCAGGGGTGGAACAGATAGGTTACTGGAATAGTCCCTGGATAGCATTGGATTCCACATATAGGAATCATTGTTGTGTCCTAAAATTTCGTACTGTGACCTATGGAAGCCGGTGCTTTGAGAGGGTTTCAGCCACGTTGTGAAATAGCTTACGACCTGCTTTAAGAGAGTCAAATAGTTATACCCTGGCCAAATTCAATAAGGACATCTAAACTCACCTCTTCACGTCTACATTGTAGACTATTTGCACAGATGCCATGCACATACATTATTTATTCATTTATGTACACATTGAGATGATTATCGTCTTACTTAATGTATAATGGTGATGGTAAGCCAATTTTGTTTCACAATTATAACTAAATAGTATTATCCATATGATGTAAAGCGCTTTAGAGTAATTTTACAAATTAGATAGGGCACTATATAAATGTTGTTCATTATTATTATTATTACTGTATAGTATCTATCAGAAGATGACGTTATTACCAAATTGATGATCATTTTGGTGCCTTGGAGAAATAAGATAGGGCACTATATGAATGTTGTATGTTATTATTATGAAGAGATCTGATATGGCTCTTCAACCAGATAAAAGCTTTGCATGGTTTCATAAGTCTGTTCATAAGTCTGTCAAACACTGATTTTTATGACTGTAGATGTTCAGCTCTTTCTCTGTTGAACATCTACTTAATTTATCTTTTAATATGAAAACATAAAAAGTTCAATCTTGGTTATGAAGTACATTTTATATCACATCGTTGTGATGAAATCATATTGCATACAAGCAAAAAAGTTTACATCTGTTCTGAATACTTCATTTTGAAGCAAGCCTTTTTGCCTATGCCCATACAAAAGCGAGATTTAAAAGTAAGGACAAGAACTTTTCAGTCAGAAATGAACTGTTTTGAAATGGAGAATGTTGATAGCGTTTTTTTTTTTTTAATATCTTGAAATGGAGAATGTTGATAGCGTGTTGTTTTTTTTAATATCTTGAAATGGAGAATGTTGATAGCGTGTTTATTTTTTTTTTTTAATATCTTGAAATGGAGAATGTTGATAGGGTTTTTTTTTTTTTTTTTTAAATATCTTGAAATGGAGAATGTTGATAGCGTTTTTTTTTTTTAAATATCTAATTCAAGAGGATTTCTTGCATTAAGGCAGTATTCTGGAATGCAAACCTTCTATCATCATACCTTTACAAATATCATTTCTTTAAAAGTCCACCCCCCCCCCCATAGTTATATTTGATCTGTATGACTCAACAATGTGGCTCCATGATATTACAATGCAATCATCACCGTAACCGTTTAGGATATGCAAGTTGACCTCTCTGACCTTGACCTGTGACCATGCACTAATACAGAGTGACATTCCACAGCCAGGAACCCCAGAGGAAATTGTGTAAAACATTTTGATCGGTTCCCCCCCCCCCCGTAATGAGTGAGAGGAGTGTTGGATTACGTACAGTCTTGGGAGCACTGCTGACAGGTCGCTGAGACACGTGGCTTTCTGCAGATTTTGGCTGACTCTCTGGCATACTTGCTGTCTTGACGGACCTGAAACAAAACAACAATGTGGTTATTTTCAAATTTTCATTTTCTTAAAAAATACAGCAAACGTAGATATCCTCACCTGTTCTTATACATCTTAGTTTACATCACCTAGGAAACATACAAATTTTCTACTCTGACCATTGAAAAAGTTTGCCCCAATGGTTTGGTATTGTTTAATTTTGTTTAACGTCCTATTAACAGCTAAGGTCATTTAAGGACGTGTCTCTATGTGTGAAGTGTATGAGTGCTTGCGTGTATGTATGCAGGAGACAGGGTATTTTGGTGTGCTTGCCTCCTTATGATAGCAGCAGATCCGCGCTAACTCACTGAAATGCCATGCTGAAGGCAGCTAGCACAGCATTCCGCCCGGTCACATTATACTGACAACGGTTGAACCAGTTGTTGCCATTACCCTAAATGCTGAACCTTAAGCAGGAAATAACAACTACCATTTTAAGGACTTCGGTATGTCCCGGCCTGGGGACTGAACCCACTGCCTTCTTCACCTGGGTGAACGCTCAACCTTCAAGCCAAAAGTGAGGTGTTGCCAAGCAAGGCGCTAGGAAATAAAAGGTAGTTAGAAGTAGAAAGAAAGAGAAAGATCCCAAATATTGCAATGGACGCAGCAGATTTATTTTGGTCGCTTTTGTGTCGCCAAATAGAAGACACCAAAGCAAATCCCCAATTCTGACACCTTCTACGATACATGCGGTGGGCGACATACCAGACGTTGAATCTGTGCCTACGTTGAATCTGTGCCTACGTTGAATAGGTGCCTACAAGCACAATTGGATTCTAACAATGTCATGTAGGGCTGCAAAGATACTTATACCTCACGGTAAGATACGTATCACAGTAAACTCAAATTAAAAAAAAAAAATATGATAATTTTGATACAAACAAAACAATTCGAAACGATACATAAGTATCACAGTTCGATACGTTACGATATATCATGGCAGCCCTAATGTCAAGTGCTCCAGACCTCCTACCTAACCTTCATTTCTTTTGTTCTTTGCAAGATGTTTATCTCCTACGATGCAAAAACCGCTGTAATTCTCCGATAGATGACCACTTACTTTTGTGGTATTACTGGTGGTGATGGCACTCGTGTCACTGGTGTAGCCGTGGCTGTACAGCTGGCATTACCACCAGATGGCACTGTTGATGTGTTTCCGCTGGACCCGCTGGTCGTCGCTGTGATGGTGGTCGTGGTCGACTCCCGGGACTTTGGCGGACTGGAGGGTCGGGTGGTAGCAGGCACTGACGTCGTCGTGGCTGTCACAGCGACTGGTATCTGTGGCTGTGGGGTCACCATCGCCACCGGTGGAGACTGTACGGAGGCTGATGGTGGAGGAGGAGGGGGAGGTACAGGGGGCGGGGATGCCTTGGATTCCCGTACCAGGGGCTTAGCAGTTCCCTTGACAACGTCAGACAACTTGCTCTCAAAGACATCACCAGCAGTAGAAGAATTCTGAGAAATTTACAACATATACAATTCACATAAATCATTGTGTATAATGTAAACATCTTATATTTGATAGACCGCATGCAAAGTTTCACAGGTTTGAACATAATACATTTTTATCATAAACTAAATTAACCTTAGTGTGCCAAAACATTTTTATACAGTATCAAGAATAGCTTTCCTTCAAAACATAGTGAAGATGGATTATCATTTACTTTAATTACGACTTCTGACTTCAAATTATTTAGAAAAACATTTGACTTGTTGCTGTCATCAGTGGGTAATGCCTCTTTTTTTTTAAATTTTCAAAAGACTGCAATAACAAAGGTAAAATGTGTATTTTTGTGAACCATTACCTCTGTATTGTGAGCCCTAAAGATGGTTTGTATCTGTACTGTAAGATTCATCAGGTGATAAATACATAAATCACAAGTCAAGTGTTGATGAATTGATACAAAACCATATCATTCAAATATTTTTTCATAAGAATCAACTGCTCTGTATTAATAGCATAAATGTGCATGATTTAAGAATGAAGAGTGACTCACCGCTGCTACCGGTCCAGGCAATGGTGGGAACGAATTGATTTCTAGGTCAAACTGTAGTTCACTAGGTAGTTTACTGTCTTTGGCGACGGCTTGGGAAGAACTAGGTCGCTGTGATTCAGAAAATGACAAAAATTGAAGATCACACATAACCTCATAAATTTGATTGTTCAGTAAACAAGTAGTATTTATACTGGTTTTATTTTGTAACAGTTAATTGTTTTACTTATTGGTAATAATTTTTCTGCGAGTACCACAGTCACTGGCCAGGGTAAACATTTAGAATGACAGCCATATAATTATTTGTTTGAGTTTTTATGTCTTATTAACAGCTATGGTCATTTAAGGATATGCCAGGTTTTGGAGGTGGAGGAAAGCCAGAGTGCCCAGAGAAAAAACACCAACCTACAGCCAGTACCTGGTGACTGTCCCACGCAGGCCTTCAATCCATGACCCAATGGGGGAGAGCTAGTGATCATAGACGGTCAGACACCTTAACACCNCCCCCCCATAGAGTTAAATTTAATCTGTATGACTTCAACTTTATACACTGAAGCAATTTACATAAATCTCAACAATGTGGCTCCATGATTTCACAATGCTTTCATCACTGTTAAGGATATGCAAGTTGACCTCTCTGACCTTGACCTGTGACCATGCACTAATACAGTGACATTCCACTGCCAGGAACCCCAGAGGGGTTGATACCGAACACTTTTTCAACAAATCTACAACTTGTCTCACCAATCAGTTGTAGCAATATTTTACACATGACTCCCTGTACACGGGATGTAGACTTACCATATTTCTAGCACCTTCATCGTCTCTTCGCCTGCGACTTCTATAGCTCCGAGGCATCCTACAAACACAAACAGTATATCAAGTTTGATCCTGCAGGATCTTTCAATCTTGTTTACCTATTTTTTCATCAAGAGGGATGAATGCTTGAAAATAAATTACTGGAATTAATTTTAACCAAGATAACAGATGAACCACTGAAATCCCTTGATTTCAAAATAATTTTGGTATTTTGGAAACCAGTTTTTGGTAAAAATCTGTCTATGAGATTTATTATGGATTAAGACATTAGCTTATTTTTTTATTTTTTTTAAATCATCTTTAATCAAAATAAATTCTTTACTCTATTATATGAAATAAGAAGTTTTGAAATGTAATTTATTTAAAAAGCTATAAAAAGGTAAAATCAAATCTACAATGAAAATTCTTCCGATTCAGGACGGCTGGTTGTGGAAGGAGTATGCAAAATGCCCTTACCGTTGTGATAAATTATCCGATTGTCTATTATTGACTGTGATATTGGAATTATTGTCCGTAACTGGTTGTGTTTGGTGCTGTTGTTGCTGAACTGATGAATGCACCATGTGAGAGTGGTTCATATTAGAGTTATCCCCCCTTCGGCTATCACGGTGGAACGGGGAGTGATGCCCCGATATCTGTGAACTGTCAGAGTTGCGGGGACTTGTGCGGTGACTACCGCCACCTCCGCCTCCTGTGTTGTCACCACGGCGATCCATTGATCCTCCTGAAGGTCCCTGTTGGCGGTCCTGGTTCGGACGGTTATCTGAATGCATACGGTGCTCTTGGTTAAGTCGAACAGGTCGCTGGTTTCTACTGCAAACAGAAATTAAATTCCAAGTTAAACTTTTTTGTAACTAGACTGTTCTTTAGGAGTAAACATGAAAACCCTTCCTGTTTTTTTTAATTTACAAATGCACAGCAAGATGCATTAAACGTTGTCATTAGCCTTTGATTATTGTCAACAAGCAAGATTATCTTGTGTATATGACACTGATTGTACAACAGAAATTCAGTGTTTAGTTTACCAGATTTACCATAACAAGTAACTAGAAGAATATGACATTTTATGATTGTATACACTTCTTTGGTAGTGAAGGCCTTGGTAGCTAATCCAACACAACTGAACATTTTAAATTAAACAGCTGGCTAAATTAAAGAACAGTTAAAATTAAACAGTTGGCTAAATTAAAGAACAGTTTAAATTAAACAGCTGGCTAAATTAAAGAACAGTTTAAATTAGTCAGCTGGCTAAATTCAAGAACAGTTTGTTTAAATTACTATAATAAAGGCCGGTTGCTATAGAGCAGCAACATCTCAATGCAGTGCCCTAATGATCTACAGACCTGTTTCTGTTGACGTTGTTGTACTGGTGCCGAGGCCCTGAGTTTAACTTGGCGACACTAGTAGCCTGGTATCCATTGATTGCCAAAACCTGAAACACAGAACAGATTCATCAGCATCTCTTACACCATGGTCCTGGTGTTCTGTACAGGATAGGCAGTTAATGTGCAATACACAAAAGGTGTGCAGAAAAAGATTTCAGCGAGTGTGTTATATTTCTACAAGACTCTTAAAAGCATTGATCTACTGCCATATTTTCAATTATATATAACATTTCAACATATTCCCTAAAAAAATATCTATTATTTAAAATTTACAATTAGGTATGTTCAATTTTCTTCACAAATTATTCTAATTCAGTATTCAAATTCTTAAAACATTTCAGCACTGTTAAACTTGGCAATTTTCTTCAGATAATTTTGTTACATAACTTAATACATAATTATACTTCAGGTATATATTAAATAAAGTGATCTATTAAAAGCATGTTAGGCACTTGTTTTAATCAGCATCTGAATCATAACGATAGCCCTTTAAATAGACGTATTAACCAATCCACCCCTACAGTCACATTTGAACCTTACCAAATCAGAGAGTGGGCATGGTCCAGTTTAGATATGTAGGGGTGCATAAAGTAATGAACACTACAATACTGTATACTTTCTTTCCTTCTTGGTTTCATTCAAGCGTATGTAATGTTTTTAATAAACATGAGGGTTACATTATGATTTTTAAATATATAAATATCATTCTAGTCATACATACTTCAAGCTGAATTTATAAACAAGCAAAATTATTCTACAACTGTCAATAAAGCAATAATAACCATTTCTTAACTGTTTGAGCATGAAAAAAGGCATTGAACCTCAAGTTTAAAAAGAATAATGTCTATAAAAATATTCTCAACCTTTCTATAACCAAATTATCTAAAATCTAGAACTATTGTCTAAAATGTTATCAAATTACAACTCGGTTAAGGTATAAGAGAAAAATATTGAAAAAAGTTTTAATAATAGACGTTTGAAAAATCTTGAATCAAAGATCACATGCAATTGATAATGATACTAATTAGATAATAAATCGGAATCTGTAATCAACAATAAATCACCTCTATATTCAGGATTCATAAAGAAATAAACACAAGTACAAGTATAATATCTAAAACCCTAATAATTTATATCTCAACCTGATCTCATTACATCACTACCTATCCCTATCTCACAGTGAAGGAGAATCTTTCAACACTATCATATCTTTGTGTAAAGGGAATTCCCATCTTGTTTGATTTCTACATTACAACACCATATTTAATCAAGGATCAAGGTATTTCATCATTTTGCATTTATCCTGAGCAGTTCCTGTCAATAAATATCCAAATTTGACGTAACATGCCTTATACAGGTATTATTACAATACAGTTCCAGGTTAAAGATGGTATTACGATTAAGGGGAGATAATTTGTAGTGAGAACTGGGAAAAGATAATCGACAGAAGGGCAGTGCTGACAACAGAGATGAAGGGACATCATGTGCGAGGTTTTGTAACAAGGCTGCAATACTTGCTTATCTCCATGATATCACAATACAAAACACACAATCACATCAACAGATGCAGCTCTACATAGTCAACTTCATGAAGGAATTTTACAGCCCACAAATTTTCATACAGGTTCTTTAGATATGTACAACCCTATAGCTATGACTGCATGAAAAAAGAAACAACATCTACTATACAAACCCAAATTGATGTACATTACACCCCTTAACACACAGAGCTGCACCTACTATGTACAGAAGTCTATGAACAACAAACAACTGTGTGAAAAACATACACGAGTGTATGAACACAACTGTATGAATGACAAACAAATCTGAACAAAGACACAGGTATGAATAACACAGCCGTATGAATGATGTGCCTATCTGTATGAACAACATACACAACTCTAGAAATGACACATAACTGTATGAGCCCATATACATAAATATTAGTTACGAATGCATACATGTATACAACCTTAAAACCTGAAGAATGTACACAGAACCTCCATGACACAAACAAGACATGTTCATCTGTACAAGATTTCTGACAATAGAATATCATAAGACACGCACACACACACATGTTACAACACTGTATACTGAGCTGTCTTATCTTATATCAACCAATTTCAACTCTGACAATGTTTCTGTTGGAAATTAGAATGTATGTAAATATTACATAAATCGTTTGCATTACGTTTGGTTCAAGATGAAATTTAATGTTGAACGCATGCCTCTTTAAAAACTCTCATAGCAAAACAATATCTTTACTGTTGTACAAAGTAAGTAATGATCAGCTTATAAAAATGTCTCGACATGAATTCTTACAATACAATATTTATGTATTGGATTTGATATTTCTTCAATTTCGTTCCAATTAGTTCAATTATATTTCTGTCCAAGGAAAAATCATGAAGATTGTTCTGTTTACAACTATTCCATCATAAATTGTAGAGGGGCGGTGGTGTCACCTGTATAAATATATTGTAAGTGGCAGGGATCAAGTCCAGGTCTGCCTACTTCTTTATTCCGTCTTTGCGTATTGCAGAGTTATCTTCTCTTGTGAACAGGTATTGATTGTTACGTCATTGGTTTGTGTGAGAAAATTACATGGGTTTTTTTCTCCAAAAATTGATGACGTTACTCTCACAAACAAATCACGTAACAATCAATCCCTGCTCACAAGAGCAGATAACTCTGCAATACGAAAAGACGGAATATTAAATCATTCGCAATATTCTGATGGGCAAAGGGTCCGTTTAAACTTATATGCCTCCCATTCAATTTGTTTTGGAACACCCCTCACAGGAATTTGTTTTTAAAAAGTCCAATGCACAACAGTTTATAGATTTTGCGTTACGAAACCTTCCGTTTGAATTTGATTAAATACAGCTTGGATTAGATTTCAGTCGTCCTGGTTGTAATAAAACGCAGCTCAGTATACAACAGAGTTTCACTCTCCTGTCTAATTCTCTCTACACAAAAGTGGTTACAGCCCAAATCTGAACCTGTTTAAAGTTTAAATGACAAACCTCTTTCATCAAAACCTGCCCCATCTCAGTCAGGGTTACTATGTGATCCTATAGGCAGTTCAAAATATGAAACAGAACCCAAAAAATTATCAGTGATGTCCCTTTCACCCCTTAGACATGGATATAGATAGGGATGAAAGGGGATATAATAAAATTATTAAACTCTCACTAAATAAATAATGAGATATATTTTTTGCAATGAAATATTAAAAGCATTTTATTTTTATGTATGGTATAAAAAGGTAACATTATCTTGAAATTGTTGAAGAGCTGTTATTTTACATGTTTATTATCACAGATCATAAAAAAAATTGTTCCCCTTCATACCTAAATATCATTTATACAACTTATTCTAAATTAGTTATATTTCCTTAAATATCTAACACTTTTTGCTTCACAAATAGCCAATTTAAGCGACACATATTGTTAAAGAGCTGTTATTTTACATGTTTATCATCTCAGGCCAGAAAAATGTTTCTTCCCCTTCGTACCTAAATATTAATTATTATTCATTCTAAATTAGTTATATTTCCTTAAATATCTAAATTCTTTTTGTTTCACAACAGCCAAATTAAGCGGAACAAAAATGACAGTTATTATCTCATAATAACAAAACTTAAACCGCAAAACAATTACTACGCTATTAAATGCTGTCAAACTCCAAACATATAAAATGGTATTAGTGGGAGAAACAGAGGGTGTCTCAATTTTCATCAGGACACTATTATTATCAAGAGAGCAGTGTCAGGTCAAGGTCAAACAAAACTGAAAACAAGAAGTACCATGAATTGAGAAATATCCACAGCCGAAGTCTTCATATCTCACACTTAATTTTGTACATAACGTGCGTAAAGTCGTATTCTTTTTCTGATCATATCTGACATCAAACGTTAATCACCTGCTTTTTAAGCATGCGAAAAACTCACTGTTGGTGTTGTGGTATTATCTACATTTCTAAAATGTGATTTTAATTATTTTTTCCAAACTTTTATTGCGATTGACAGAAAGGGGACCAATTCATGACAACTGATGGATTTATTTTAAAGACATTCTACTTCCTTACAAGTATTTGCTGAAATTCATGTGTCTCTGGTTTCCTCAGAAAGGAACAGAAACTTTAGAGTGTGTAATTTTATAGGCAACATTATATTTAAGGAAAAAAGAACCTAAAACTTGATTCTCTTGAAATGAGGGGGTTCTATTTCCAAAGTAGGGAAAATCTACACCTAGTTGACCTTCGAGCATAAAACAAAATCATCCAAATGTAAAGAGTGAAACGACTTTTGAGATAATTGATTTAAATTTTGCCCACAAGTACGAAACAATTTCAACTGTTAACTCATTTACCCCTGAAGACACATTTGAACTCTTCCAATTCAAAGGTTGGAATAGTTCATTATGAAATTTCAGGGGTGAATGAGTTAAAGACAACAACCAAGGAACTTGTAGCACTTTCACAGATCTAGCACATCTCTCTTCCAACCCTTTAAATGTTTATTAAACTATAAGAAATAAGAAAGTGAAGTGTTTCACATATTCCCGCCCCTCCTGTTCATTTCCGTAAATGCCATTTTCTTTCTCAATTCATGGTAGCATCATGGTGTACAACTACTGCAGCCTTGGTTAAATCAATGTGGTTTTGGAGTAACAATAACCCTTTCATCTCTATGACTCCAAGTGGGACTCTTCACAGCTTTGGCCTGCATCAGTCTCATGAAGTCTATTGGGGTGGAAGAGGAGGAGGAGGAGGGAGTCGTAATTACCATACTGGGATCCAGTAGAGTCGGACTAGAAACGTTTACATTTGTTGGCCATGATGGCAGCAGGGCAGCATTGGGGAAAAATGGAAGTGTCTGAAAAAGAATCACATAATGTTTAATCAGTATTGGGAAAAAATGGAAGTGCCTGAAAAAGAATCACATAATGTTTAATCAGTATTGGGGAAAAATGGAAGTGCCTGAAAAAGAATCCAATAATGTTTAATTTCATGTCCTGTAAATGTACAAATTTTAGTGGTGTTCTAATTTTAGTGTGTGGCAGGATTGAATTTTATCAAATGTATTTGTAATGGAATGTCCAGTATAGAAGTCAGTAGTGTAAAGTCAGTAAATATCTATTATCTTGGCGCGCAATACCTTTGTTCGACTAGATAGACAAGAGAGCGACGACAGCGACGACTGACAAGAGTGTAAGTGAGAGATGAATGTGTACAGGAGCTGGACAAGGCGTTAAGCCTTCTGCCACACAGAGGGTAAGATTTATCTACAATAAACCACTGGTTCAGAATCAAACGTTGAGCTTGGGTTGTTAATTCATCCCCAAATAGCCCTTGGTTTCAAGTGCTTTTTCATTTGTTGTACATAGCGTACTTTTTTCTACTGCATATATAGTAAGTGTTGCAATTCATCAACTTACAAATATCAATTTACATCTGTTACAATTTGATAACACAATTAAATGTGTCCACTAAAATAATTACTCTTGCAGTATCTGCAAAAATAATCAGTTTTTTAATTTATGTACCAGTTTTATTTCACAATTGATAGCAAAAGTTGGTGTTTACAATCTGTGCTGATCAGTTTTTTTTCCAAAACTTGATTCCATTCCACTTTAGTTTCACTCTAGTTACCCAACACATCTTGTTTTATCTGGTAATCCCATTCTACTAAGTTTGGATACGAGTACAAAAAAGAATTATTTTCAACGACAAAAAATCTGGTCACGACGGGAAAAGTTTCCAATGCATAGTAATGGGTTTTGACAGAGGTACAGGCATCCATAAACAAGCCATTCGGATTGATATGTCTAACCTGTGCCCCACTTTGACCATCAATGCACATATCAGAGAAACTTACTTAAATGCAAAAACTTTATGATGATGGAGAATCTGACAAAGTCGATAGACCACGAAAGGTAGGCAACATCCAGCATTTGATGTATGGGTTGAGATGTACTACCTAAGATGTATCTATGGTCCAAGTTTGGTTGGTCTAGCACTTATACTTTCAGTGAAGCTAAGTTAAGCACTAAAACTTGATGTTGGCGCCACCGCCGGAAAACAACACCTTAGTCTCGCTTTCGCTACTTCGTGGCGGCGAGACAAAAAAATCCTCAATTTTACGTACCTGCTGACCATTGATGTACGGCGTCATTATGGGCACCTGTTGCTGCACCTGGTACTGTGTCTGTTGCTGTGTTTGTTGTTGTGACTGCTGCTGCTGAACAACCACCTGCTCTGCCTGTGAGACAGGAACAGCAGGAGGGGAGGTCACTCCAGCCACTGTCTGTTGTTGTGTTTGTTGTTGTTGTTGCTGCTGCTGTACAGCCTGTTGTTGCTGGTGATACTGAGGTCTGTAACCATTACGTGGATACGTCATCCGTATCAGAGGCTTGGCTTTGATTCTTGCCTAAAATACAACAAAGGGATTTTATGTTAAAACAAGTTGACTATAACCAAGTTCTAAATAGGCGACTCAATAGGAATATTGAAATAAAAGACTGCAGAACAGAACAATTATTAACATCATAAAGCGAGCATTGAAAAAGGCATATCCTAAATATAGCATCAATGCAAAATGGCAATAATATCAATTCAAGTGAAATTGTTATTTTCATTTTTCTTTCACCAAAATTATATATATATATGAAAAATATATGAGCCCTAAAACATCTGGAAAACTAGATCTCTTTCCTATTTTGCAGACATTAATTTTACTGCTGTCTTGCAAGACAGAAACAGATAGTAATAACCTTGAACTATGAACTTTATCCCCTTGACCTATAATTATCTCCCCTGGATCACAAACGTCTACCCAATGCCCTACTAGAATTTATGTTATTTCTGTGCTTCAACGTGTCTAAACGTTAATATCTTGGTACCAATTAATGTTGACTTGCTTTGTTAAAATGTAGATCCAAAATCCAGTTTACTACTGGGATTGATTGATTATAACAGGGCTTTATGGCTTTGCAACAGCTATGGTCATCACATGACACGCCTAGATCGCAAAATTATAATCCATGTAAATTTAATGTTTTAATTTTGGGTAAAAAAATCGCAAATAAATTGTATTATTATCCACATTCAACACGGAAATATTGATACTTTACAAATTTCCTGATCTGTTAGTGACCATTACGACAGTACGTGATACCTTACAAATTTCCTGATCTGTTAGTGACCATTACGACAGTACATGATACCTTACAAATTTCCTGATCTGTTAGTGACCATTACGACAGTACATGATACCTTACAAATTTCCTGATCTGTTAGTGACCATTACGACAGTACATGATACCTTACAAATTTCCTGATCTGTTAGTGACCATTACGACAGTACATGATACCTTACAAATTTCCTGATCTGTTAGTGACCATTACGACAGTACATGATACCTTACAAATTTCCTGATCTGTTAGTGACCATTACGACAGTACATGATACCTTACAAATTTCCTGATCTGTTAGTGACCATTACGACAGTACATGATACCTTACAAATTTCCTGATCTGTTAGTGACCATTACGACAGTACATGATACCTTACAAATTTCCTGATCTGTTAGTGACCATTACGACAGTACATGATACCTTACAAATTTCCTGATCTGTTAGTGACCATTACGACAGTACATGATACCTTACAAATTTCCTGATCTGTTAGTGACCATTACGACAGTACATGATACCTTACAAATTTCCTGATCTGTTAGTGACCATTACGACAGTACATGATACCTTACAAATTTCCTGATCTGTTAGTGACCATTACGACAGTACATGATACCTTACAAATTTCCTGATCTGTTAGTGACCATTACGACAGTACATGATACCTTACAAATTTCCTGATCTGTTAGTGACCATTACGACAGTACATGATACCTTACAAATTTCCTGATCTGTTAGTGACCATTACGACAGTACATGATACCTTACAAATTTCCTGATCTGTTAGTGACCATTACGACAGTACATGATACCTTACAAATTTCCTGATCTGTTAGTGACCATTACGACAGTACATGATACCTTACAAATTTCCTGATCTGTTAGTGACCATTACGACAGTACGTGATACTTTACAAATTTCCTGATCTGTTAGTGACCATTACGACAGTACGTAAGTGCTACGGCTTACCAGTATAGGTTTATTGAGGAAGGTGCACTGTTCCTCACGTAGGTACTGATACGCCTGCTGGGCACTCGCATCCGAGTCAAACGTCACGTACCAACTGTCATTGGCTGCAAACTCACAGCTCACAAACCTTGGACAACTCTCCCCTTTGAACAAATTTTTCACATCCTGTGCAAAAATACAAAACAGATTCTAGTTATTTCTCCAAACACACCATATTTCTTTCTGATCAAATCAATTGAAAAAGAAAACAAATTATCTGTCAACAATATACCTTAGGTAAACCATAATAATTAACCCTTTCACCCCTGAGGAACTTAAGTAAACGTTTCTGTACATTGATCTGGAGGAGTCCATAATGGCCTGCAGGGGTGACAGGGTTATTAGTGTTGAATCAAATCAATCATTTATCAGTTATGAAGCCCAGAGATTCTGACACATATAGTTTCCGACTCTTAAGTATGTGATGGGTTTAATGCAAGATAATGAAACTGCAATAGATATGGGTGGGCTGTTATAAGGCATGGACTTAATATTCAGTGGCGGATCCAGAGGTTTTTTTTGGCTTCAACAAACCCCCCACTTTGAGAGTTTTCTTTAAAAATAATCACCATTTTCCTCAATTTTCCCCCACATAGGACCCCCCCCCCCCCCAGGATCCGCCACCGATTTATTGCCACTAAATATCTACTGTTTATTAGGCCATAATGATAACGGAAAATAGATAAAGGGTGAAAGAAAACATGCTATAAAATGAATGAGTTTTATTTGGTAATGCATTCAGACAATAAATGATGATTCTATATAGCATTTTTGCCTAAAAAACCCTTAATTCAGAAATTCTCCAATATTTCTGCCTCAGAAAACAGTGTCGAGACTGACCAGATTTTACTACACTGTGCTTGTGAATATATGTTTAATACCTTTCACCTATAAGCTGTCAACTTTTTTCCCCAGACAATGTCCCTTTGACATGCCTGGCTAAGGGAAAATCCTAAAATTTGAGAGCAGTGGGCCATTTTCAGTAATTGTTTGTCAATATCTTGTTTGTCAATATCAAAATTAAGAGGGGCCATTCTATGTACAATTAAAAGAAAATTGGAAAATGGAGGGGTCCATTTCAGTTTTGAGGGGTCAATGGCCCCCTCCAGGATTATCCCTGCAGTGGTTCAGTTACATTACCTCTAAAGGTGTGGACTCGGGAATCTCACGGAGAATCACTATACATCGATTGTGATTCGGACGAACCTTTTCACATTTCCCATCTACTTCATGTACTTGAACATTTGGTAGTTCTGTAAAATATCAAACAGAAATGTGTATTAACCTTTCATTTAAATAAAATATTGATATACAGTTCTTATTTCGAAAACATTCATCTCTTAGTCCACATTTCCTCATGAATAGCAATCGTCCTAGTAACTCATTCACCCCTGAAATTTCATAATGAACTATTCTTACCGTTGAATTGGAGGAGTTAAAATGTGTCTTCAGTGGTGAAAGAGTTAATGGACTTAACTCCAATTGATTTCTCTTTTAAGTAACAACTCCTCCAAGCCAAGAACCTTTCACAATGGATTCAAGTTAACCAGAGTTTTGCAAAGGTCAAATTGATGATGGAACAAGTAAAGTTTTTAGAAATGTCCCTAAAAATATGCACAATCAAGAAAGTAAACACCTGGGCCTGGTTGTTCAAAAGCTTGTTAGCTTAATCACTGTTTAACGACCATCTTCAACCTTTAATAATTTTGTCAATATACAAGGTAAAATCTCACAATTTTGTTTGTAAACAATGTGCCCTGTTATTCAAAAGGTGATTAGCTTAATCAGTGAATTTACAGACAAAATTGTGATATTTTACCTTGTATATTGACAAAATTATTGAATGTTGAAAAATGTTGTTAAACAGTGATTAAGCTAACAGGCTTTTAAACAACAAGGCCCAGGTATGTCTAGTCTAAGCCAGGTAATATAAGTAGCCCGGAGCCATACCGCTCTATACAGGTGCGACACCAATACTCAGCCTGGTGTCAGATCTACTGAGGCTCCAGGCCTACTATAATAATAATAATAATAATAATAATAATAATGTTTATCAGGTAAAAGATCATGGGAAACATAAATTACATTATGCAAGCAATGAGATCACAGAATGGTATTTGATGGAAGACTAACCTTCAGATATCACAAAATGCATGACTAAAAATTATATTATTATTATTATCACAGTTTGTATGAATATCACATACAAATTTAGAGGTACAGACAGTGAATTATAATCTTGAACTGGTAATCTTTTACCTAGGATGGCCCATGAAAGTTTTGAAAAAACTTTTTTCCAATGGGGTCCTTTGGAAAAATTATTAGCAACCGGTCAAGATGATAGGATGGTTCTTATAATGAATACTACAATTATTAAAGGAACTTTAAGTGGTATAGGGTAATTAAATATTATAAAAAGACAAATTCATTTTGATGTTCCCTTTTAGCTATTTCCATCAAGTGATGTTTAACCTGAAGTTTAGATTGATGCTTTTTGTGTAGACATTTGATTGACCTAGGTAAAGAATTCCAGTCTCTGATTCCATTATAGAAACAAGAGTACCGCGGGGCGGAACAATGTACGCCCGTCAAATGCCATATCGTGTTATATACTTTCTTACATTGAAATAAGATCCGATCATTCTAAGAGTGGTTAGCCGACATGCTATAAAAAATGTAGGAGAAAATCAAATAATGAAATGAACAAAGGGCAACAACTTTTGCAAATAGCGTTGAATCAATTATTTTTTTAAGGGAGACATAACTTCATATCATGATTATAATGAATACAAAGTTTCAAAGAGATCCATTGAAAAATGTAGGAGGAGATTGCTGGACAAAAATCAAATACTGAAATAAACAAAGGGCAATAACTTTTGCAAAAATTATGATTATTTAGCCTACCAAGTTTCAAAGAAATTTGTCAAAAAATGTAGGAGGAGATCTCCAGGCAAAAAAAAATTCAAATACTGAAATGAACAAAGGGCAATGACTTTTGGGAAAATTGTCGAATCAAAATTCTTTAAAGGGAGACACATCTTCATATCATGATTATAATGTATACCAAGTTTCAAAGAGATCGGTCGAAAAATGTAGGAGGAGATTGCCGGACAAACAATAGTTTATGCCAGATGGACAGACAACCCCATACCATAATACTTCCCGTCAAATTTGACAGGCGTATAAAAATGTAATAGGAACCTTTAACTGGTGCTGCATCTTTCAAAAATCTGGCAGGAATACTGTCTTGACCTGTAGTTTTTCCACTATTAAGATTGCATAATTCTTTAAAAACAAAATCTTCTGAAACATTTCTATATAAGATATGATATATGTTTTGGATAGAAACAACAACACCTACTGTACCTTATCCACAGCTGGTACTATAAACCAAGGACCTCACCAATTATCATTCATATTCAGAAATCAACACCTAGCACATCATACACAATAGGAATCTATGATTCCGTAGAGTGTTTTTTTTTTAAATTTATTTTCTTAATTATTCTGATGTCAAACTTTTATTGTTTAATTGAAATTAAACCCACAAACAACTGTAATCGTAAACAGAAGGCTACAACTCTGAGCCTTTGCAGTATTAATTGTTGAGGTAGCAAAAAGGATTCTTACCAGAGTATTTTAACCCACTCACCCCTAAAGTCACATTTGAACCTTACCGAATCAAAGACTGGGCAAGTCCAGTTTAAGTATGTAGGGGTGAATGAGTTTAACCTGCTCCCTGCCCCATTTAATCCTGCAGTTAACTCTTTTACTTGCACACTTTACTCATTAACTCACCTTTAAGTAATTCTGTGATAAGGTCAAGGTCATTTGTGAGCTGCTGAATCTGCTGTAGGTTGGCAACAGTTGCTATAGGAACATATTGGTCTGCATCCATCTGCGACTGCAGGTAGCGATCACTGGCAAGGCTCTCTCTGTAGAGGTAGAGGGGTCAGAGGTCAATCGAGGCCTGACACCATGTCTGACTTTCAAAGATTTCTAGACAAGCTGGTTAACGTTTTGCTCTTAAGTGGATATCAACTCGTTCATCCCTGAAGACACATTTGAACTCATCCAATTCAGAGGTTGGCATAGTTCATTATGATACTTCAGGGTTAAATAAGTTGACAATACTTGATTTGTTGATCATATATATGGTATACATCTCATATAAATAAGTTTTATAAGTGTGCAGTCAGGTGACCTTACAATACTAATAGCACAAAGTTTTACCAAACAAACTAACAAAACATTTTCCGAGAGAAAAAGTGTTATAAATGGCCTGGGTTAATCTCTGCTGTTTTTATGTTTTATATAAGAAATTTTACAGCATGTCAAGTTTTTATATTAATTTTTAAAAGTAGATAGCAGAATTATTCAGAATGAAGTGATTACTGCATCAATGTTACACATGTATATACCCTGTCTGTGTGGTCCTAACACAATGTCACACGGTATATACCCTGTCTGTGTGGTCCTAACACAATGTTACACGGTATACACCCTGTCTGTGTGGTCCTTAGACAATATTACACGGTATACACCCTGTCTGTGTGGTCCTTACACAATGTTACACGGTATACACCCTGTCTGTGTGGTCCAAACACAATGTTACACAGTATACACCCGGTCTTTGTGGTCCTAACAGTTTACCGTGACTTCTTGGTGAGTGATGGACCACCTTACCTGGAGAAGCAGTTTTCCAGCTGTTCCTTCAGCATCTGTCGCAGCTGGTCTTCAGTCACACTGTTGGCATTGACAATGTTGTCTTCTGCGTCTGTCGAACAGGGGAACAAAATGAAAAGAGAACATGGCGGAGTATATACATATAATGGATCTACCAGAAATTATTTTGGTATGTGTATTACTATTAACAGATCCAGTAGAAAGGGCCAAGCCACAAGCTCCATGATACACAGACGTCAACCTTGTATCTCGAGAGTATTTTCCCGTAAAATGTCACAAGGCCCGATTTCAGTGTGCGACATTTTGCCATCCCAAGGGGTACAGAACTTGGTAATTGTAGGTGACAGAGAATTCAAGATATGCCAAGTTCAAAGAGACAAACAGTTAACCAAAGGTCGTAACTATAGCGAGGGATGAGACCCAATTTCTGTGTCCGACACTTCACTCTCCCAAAAGGTATCAAATTTCTTAACTGGAATTGCCAGAATGTATGAGATACGCTCTTGATAAAATGGTACAGTGATAGACTGAGGGACTGAAGGATGCATTACTAACATAGTACCAGTGCGGGAACAATGATGTTAACGTGAGCCACTACCCAACAACAGTGTTCTCCACTGGGAACAATGATGTTAACGTGAGCCACTTACCAACAACAGTGTTCTCCGCTGGGAACAATGATGTTAACGTGAACCACTTACCAACAACAGTGTTCTCCGCTGGGAACAATGATGTTAACGTGAGCCACTTACCAACAACAGTGTTCTCCGCTGGGAACAATGATGTTAACGTGAGCCACTTACCAACAACAGTGTTCTCCGCTGGGAACAATGATGTTAACGTGAGCCACTTACCAACAACAGTGTTCTCCGCTGGGAACAATGATGTTAACGTGAACCACTTACCAACAACAGTGTTCTCCGCTGGGAACAATGATGTTAACGTGAGCCACTTACCAACAACAGTGTTCTCCGCTGGGAACAATGATGTTAACGTGAGCCACTTACCAACAACAGTGTTCTCCGCTGGGAACAATGATGTTAACGTGAGCCACTTACCAACAACAGTGTTCTCCGCTGGGAACAATGATGTTAACGTGAGCCACTTACCAACAACAGTGTTCTCCGCTGGGAACAATGATGTTAACGTGAGCCACTTACCAACAACAGTGTTCTCCGCTGGGAACAATGATGTTAACGTGAGCCACTTACCAACAACAGTGTTCTCCGCTGGGAACAATGATGTTAACGTGAGCCACTTACCAACAACAGTGTTCTCCGCTGGGAACAATGATGTTAACGTGAGCCACTTACCAACAACAGTGTTCTCCGCTGGGAACAATGATGTTAACGTGAGCCACTTACCAACAACAGTGTTCGCCGCTGGGAACAATGATGTTAACGTGAGCCACTTACCGACAACAGTGTTCTCCGCTGGGAAGGTTGTGACGGCAGGGAGCTGGTTGTCAGTGTAACTGGAGGAGACATCGCTGGAGAGGGGCGACTCAGCCGAAGTATCTGCCCCTCCCACTTCTCCCTTACCTACATCACCATTGGCATGCTGGTACTCTGCAATAACAAAGCATTAATTAGATCAGTCTCAAAGTCATGCTGGCAGTGTAGACATGTCTACATCGGTGGTAGGGGAATAGGTATTTTGAGATGTGGAATTTGCCACTTACCAATAGAAACCGTTTCTAATGATGGTGATTACGATGTATAATACATTTGCAGATACATTTGCTGTATACAATTTATCCTCTGATGATTTAGAAATAGTTGTCCGTCTCCAGCTGCTATCCAGCTATCCATCACAAAACTATTAAAGATCTGTACAAACTACATCTTACATTGATGTTAATCCGAAAGGGAATTTCAAGAAAGCAAGTTTTTAATGTGTGAAACACAGTAGTTGCTTGTTGAAGCACATGACTCAAAAATAAAAGTATTAAAGAGAAATTACCTTAAACAGAGCATCTAAAGTATATTTCCAGGAGCAAGTGAAAGATTTGAGCTTTTTACAAGAGTTAGCTGGAAAGTGGTTGTTACAAGGTTTACCCCACCATTTTGAATTGTGAAGATTTTTACGGGAGAAAAAAACATTTTTCTTCACCTGTAATTCCGACACAGATAAGTATTTTTAATTTTAATTTTCTTTTTCCTGAGCTGTTCTTTCCGTCATTATTTCTTTATTATTATTATATATATATTTTTTTTTTACCTTCCAATCAATATTTCATTATTAATGCTACCGGTAGTTTCCCTTTTTTTCCCTCTAAACCTTTCTGCCTTTCAATATTTCAGTCGTTATTTTTCGGGTTTTTTCCTGACATTTTCTTTCCATCAAAATTTCCTTATTTATGTTCTTTTTCATTTGGTTTTTTACCCTTTCTTCCCTTCAATACTTCTAATCATCATTCATTATTATTTTTTTCTTTTTCATGAGATTTTCTTCCCTTCAATATTTCCTTATTTATGTTCTTTTTCATTATTTTTTTTACCCTTTCTTCCCTTCAATACTTCTTTATTATCATTCATTATTATTTTTTTCTTTTTCATGAGATTTTCATGAGATTCTCAATGTTTCCTTATTTCCCAGAAGCAGGCTTTGTGGGTAAGACCAGTCTGTCTAGTTCAGACGTAACTGTACGTAGTACACTGTCCACGTCCCAGCAATTATCAGCTTTAGTTTCTATCAAGTGTGGATCTCTTACACAAAAACATTTTTCAATCTGTATGGAAAGGACAGATAAGTGACACACTTCCCTATTTGTCTCACTGAGTTGAGACTTTTCTGTGACAGGGAAACCAGAGACAATCGAAAAAGAATAGTGAAATTAAATGTAACACTGAGGAAAATTCAGAATACCCGTGTTCCTGCTTTGTATTTCTATCATAAAATTATTTTTACATAAAGGTAAAACGTTCTGACATATACATATATACCACAGTGTCTCACAGAGTATATTTTACCTTGCATCATTTAGCATGTTATTTGTATGAAGCTATGCTGTATGCTAAGATATCAAATCAGAAGGGGTTGTTTTTACTATATCATTTCAAGTTCAAGACAACATTATTATATGCAGGTAAGTATAAATCCACCAGTGTGGTGACACCCAGAGCTAGTACATTTTATGAAAATTTCATAAAAAAAATCAATATTTACTATGAAGATATAGATTGGCCTTGTTTGGTTTGGTTTGTTTGTGTTTTACGACCTATTAACAGCTATGGTCATTTAAGGACGTGCCAGGTTTTGGTGGTGGAGGAAAGAGGAGTTCCCGGAGAAAAAACACTGACCTACGGCCAGTATCTGGCGACTGCCCCACATAGGTCTCGAACCCGCGACCCAGTAGTGGAAGGCTAGTGGTAGCAGAATGTCAGACGCCTTAACCACTTGGCCACCACGGTTTTGGTAAATGGTTATTAAAATGTTATCTATCAAAATGCTAGAAACAAACTAGTTACTTAACTGATTTCGCTCTTCTTACAATTGCCCCACCTCTACTTACCATCATTTGCATTGACTCCATCCCACGTTGAGGTGTCAGGCTGAGGTTGAGTTGTGCTGGTTTTATTGCTGAGCGAGAAGACGGTAGCATTTGGATTTAACCCAGCAGCTGTCTTCGGTGTGACCTAAAAGCAACAACAAAAATATTGCAACAAAAATTTATCATTTATTCAATTGCTAGGCAGCATACTGTAAAATCACATATTTTGGTGTCGCTAAAGTTTTGTGGTTTCCCGAAAAATTACCATTTGGTGGAAACATAAATTTGCTGATTATGTCAAACCTGTAATTATTTCACGAACCTATGAATTCGAAGATGAAACACGAAAATTAATGATTTCACAGTAGTCCTTCCTTACGTTACATCAACCATTGTAATATCACAAATGACATCACAAATACACAGCAAAGGACAAACCACTTCTTTCCCTTCCGAGTTTTTCCCAGTTTATATATATATATTCACATTAATGACACTTACTTCAGATGTCATACACAATGGAAATCACTGCTCTTCTGTTTTACAAATTTCCTTTATAACTCCTATACATACACATTAATTTGATTGTAAAAGAGAAGAAGTATTCTATGCATATTTTCAACATTTCAGAAAACCAGTTACTAGTTCAGGTACTGCATTTAAGGCAGATTCTTGGGTACATAGGCCCCCTAAATCATACACATTTTTTGCCATAATATTAATAATTTTTAACGAGTTAATAAAATAGGTTTATAAGAAGCACTGTTCACAACCAGCTAATTTACAATGGCTTTCTCCAGACAGTCTGCCCATTAAAAATCCTAGATCTAGTCATTTCAAGTCTATATAAATCCTAGATCTAGTCATTTCAAATCTATATAAATCCTAGATCTAGTCATTTCAAATCTATACAAATCCTAGATCTGGTCATTTCAAATCTATACAAATCCTAGATCTGGTCATTTCAAATCTATACAAATCCTAGATCTGGTCATTTCAAATCTATACAAATCCTAGATCTGGTCATTTCAAATCTATACAAATCCTAGATCTGGTCATTTCAAATCTATACAAATCCTAGATCTGGTCATTTCAAATCTATACAAATCCTAGATCTGGTCATTTCAAATCTATACAAATCCTAGATCTGGTCATTTCAAATCTATATAAATCCTAGATCTAGTCATTTCAAATCTATACAAATCCTAGATCTGGTCGTTTCAAATCTACATAAATCCAAGATCTAGTCATTTCAAATCTAAACAAATCCTAGACCTGGTCATTTCAAATCTATTCAAATCCTAGATCTGGTCAATTCAAATCTATATAAATCCTAGATCTAGTCATTTCAAATGTATGTCTTGAGCTCCGTCTTCAGTCAATGAAAATGTTCCGTCGATGCCACACCATTACTAACAGTTTGCGACGTCATTGATTGGGTAACCCAGATGCTGCATCAATGGAGTGTAGTCTGTTCTAGAAGGCATTATGTCGCTATTCAATGGAAATCTTGTAATTGAGTTGTGTTTAAAATCTGAAATAACTGCCGCAGAGACCGGCGCATCGTACGACAGGATGGTAAGTGTTTGGTCTGTGGTCTGTTTAATTTGTTAGCACGTGTTAATGATCAGAAGGACTAATAATAGAGAATATGTACCCAATCATTCTGTAATAATCAATAAGTATAGAAATAGAACTCGGACGGTGATGGATAGATATGGGAGTCGGTTTACACTGCGTTTAACCCGATCCACGCCCCCACATCCAACAGAACCCTGTTTCTCAGCCATCTCCCTGACATCTTTCCTGCCTGCGAGCTCGGTCTTACCAATCTTACCTATAACAGGCACTGCCATTCATTCTTCAGTGATGTATCAATAATCTTAATGAGATTTTTAATTAACAATATCACCAATTTCTGGATAACATGCCAAAAATTATTAAAACAATCCATCAATTAAACAGGGTCCTTTTCATTTTCTTTATCATCTGTAAAATTTTCTTTCAACATTTAGTGATAGAGACTTTTAAAATTTGAAGTGGAAAATTTTTCAATTAGCATTTAGTCATCTGATTTTTTTTACATTGAAAGTGGAAATTTTCAATCAACATTTAATAACATTTTTTTTTAAATATTTGAAGTGGAAAATTTTCTATTTAACATTTAGTAATTTGAAAATTTTAAATTTTGAAAGTGGAAAATTTTCAATCAACATCTAGTATTATGATAATTTTTAAATATTTGAAGTGGAAAAGTTTCGATCAACATTGAGTTATCTTCTACCAACATTACGTGATCTGAAGTTTTTACATTTAACCTTCTCATCCCTATGTCAGTTTAGTAGACACTACCATGCATTGATCTGGATGTGTCCATTATGGTCTACAGTGGTGAAAGGGTTAAGCCAAAATAATCTACCAAGCATCACTGGGACTACATATATGGTGTATTAGACAAGTGGCTTCAAATTGTTTTAACAGTATTCTAATTTTAGCGTTTTCACCCTTTAAACATTGCACTAATTATGATTGTGCCAATAGAAGTTTCTGAAATCGTTTCCTATTGCATATAACTTTGCCATTATATCAATTTATCAATGCGCTAATCTGTTAAAATTGGATAATGCGCCAAAACATGTGTCCTCTAAAATAAGCACTCTTACAGTATATTCAGACGAACAAGAAAACTGATCAGCAATATGGACTTTTCTTGAGGTGAATATGTGATTTTAGGAATCCTAGATAGAGATCCGAGTCCAAATATAAACAAGTGCCACCTCTTCCTCCGTCGTGTTCCAGTTTATGGAGCCAGACAGCAAGTTAATATGAAATTATTGGTCTTGTACCAGAGGACGCCAGAATAAACTCATAAATATTATATTACTGTCTGTACGAAGATAGATATAGAATATATTGAATATCATCATATTACACAAGTATGACCAATTTTGCTTGCATTTTGAAGTGTGGAAACAATAGTAAATTTAAGAAAACAGACTTGCAAGTGAAATGTTAAGATACTCAATGATTAAAATAAAATGAATTTTTGTTAAAAATTATTTTGAAATGGCAAGAAATTACAACTAACCTGTCAAACGTTTCGACGTTTTTTTTCTTCAGAAATTTGCCTGGATGTCACTTTGAATTTTCGTTTATTATATTTTTCGAAATGGCAGGAAATTGCAACTGACCTGTCAAAACAATTCACTTTTTTTTGGACTGAAATTTAACGGAATGTAACCTTCACATGACCCTTTTGCATTGTTACATTACTTCAGCTGATCACTAGAAAGGATCCATTGTTTAACAATCTTTACTAGTGATAGTTCACTGAGGTAAATATTCTAAAACCGTATCCTCATACTGAGGTCTTTCCATATCTCACTAGTGACATCATTGCTTTCATTATGGAACCGACTTCCCGTACTTTGCAGCAGTGAAAATATCAATTTCGTCTATAAAAGATTTCCTACCTTTCACGTCCATTAAGACATTACTTTTGCTGTACTCATGAATTCACTGATATCACTAGTGACAACATTTGCTTTTATATTTTGGTAATTATTTTCTAAGGGGTGTAAACCCTTTCAACCCTATGTAACTTAAGTATACATTAAAAAAAGAGAAGACCTGAATATCAAGTTATCCCTAGATACAAAACTAGCCAGAAAGTCATACTGTATGTGCCTATAGCCATGAATAAGTTATCTCTGCCTCCGACGTGATTATAAATCAATAGCCACTTTATGCCATCCAATAATAACGTAATCAGTCTGTTTGTTACCCAACACTGGCCTCACCTTCAATATGATCCGACTCTTTTCAGGAAATATCATAATGAAATATTCACCATAAAATGAAAATTTTACAACATGATTTCATGGGAATTAAAACCAAATACTCCCTTGAGTTGGAAACGTGATAAAAATAAGTCTCTGATTTCAGGTATAATATATTGATGGAGTCAGAAATTATGTCTGCCATGACATTTACATTATTAATTTCCTCGCAAATCTCCCCTTATTAGCACTATGTGGTTTAATTTCCTCAATGAGAGTAATCAAAGACAAATGATAAAGCTTCATAAGTCAAGAGTTGAATCGGCCAGTCTATATTAAGTGGCAGTATAAACAATGTCCTATAAGGGGGGGTTGGATCACCATGGTTTATGTAGGAAAACTTTGTGAAAATGAGAATATTTATGCATTATAAAGCCAAGTTTCCACTACAAAGACAACATCTAATCATGATACATGTCCCCTACCACAACACATTGTCTAGTAATATAATACATGTCCCCTTCCACAACACATTGTCTAGTAATATAATACATATCCCCTACCACAACACATTGTCCAGTAATATAATACATGTCCCCTACCACAACACATTGTCTAGTAATATAATACATTTCCCCTACCACAACATATTGTCTAGTAATATAATACTTGTCCCCTACCACAACACATTGTCTAGTAATATAATACATGTCCCCAACCACAACACATTGTCTAGTAATATAATACATATCCCCTACCACAACACATTGTCCAGTAATATAACACATGTGCCCTACCACAACACATTGTCTAGTAATATAATACATGTCCCCTTCCACAACACATTGTCCAGTAATATAATACATGTCCCCTAACACAACACATTGTCTAGTAATATAATACAGCCCCCTACCACAACACATTGTGTAGTAAGAATACATGCCCCTACCACAACACATTGTGTAGTAAGAATACATGCCCCCTACCACAACACATTGTCTAGTAATATAATACATGTCCCCTTCCACAACACATTGTCTAGTAATATAATACATGTCCCCTTCCACAACACATTGTCTAGTAATATAATACATGTCCCCAACTACAACACATTGTCTAGTAATATAATACATGTCCCCAACTACAACACATTGTCTAGTAATATAATACATGTCCCCTTCCACAACACATTGTCCAGTAATATAATCCATGTCCCCTAACACAACACATTGTCTAGTAATATAATACATGTCCCCAACTACAACACATTGTCTAGTAATATAATACATGTCCCCAACTACAACACATTGTCTAGTAATATAATACATATCCCCTACCACAACACATTGTCCAGTAATATAATACA